GCGCGGTGGCAGCCACAAATGGCCCCAGACTCTTTTCTGACGGCAGCTCATGGTGCTCACTGCAGGACGCCCGCTTCCTGCATCAGGCTGTGATCAGACACCCCAAGCTGGGTGCTGTGGCGAAGCATGTCTTTGCCACCACCCTGCCTCACCCCCTGTTAGCTGTGACCTTGCCAGAGCACGTGCAGAGGGGCCTCGGGAAGGCAGTGGATGCTGGCACCTATGACTGGCCCCGCTTTTACTGTGAGCTTGTGCTTCCCAACTTGGAAGACCTCTCTGCTGCTGACCGGGACTCACTGCTTCTCCATGCGCTGGATATGTCCCATGATGATGTGGACAAAGTGCTGCAGACAGTGCCCTGCATTCCTGTCACCCCTCATGGCCACCTGCAGCTCATTAGTTGCCTGGTGCATCCCAGAGGCCGCATTGCCTCTTTATATGATCCTAAGGATGGGCGCTTCCCCACTGGGGATGCCTTCCTTTCCCCAGAAAGATTAAGCCAACTGGAGAGGCTGGGCATGGTTAAAGACACAGTGACCCTCTCAGAGCTGCTGGAGCGGGCAAAGACAGTGCAACTTATCTGGACCAAGGACCACGCCCAGGGCTGCCAGAGGGCTGCCTGCATCCTTGAGCTGCTTCGCGATGCAGTGGAAGGGAGGATGAACAACACCATGCAGGCAGCTTTCCAGACTGTGCCCCTCCTCCCTGGTACACTGCCCACTGGGGAACATGTGCTGTTGCCAGCTGTCCAGCTCTACCATCACATCCATGCCCCACTAGTGGGACTCATCCACCCTGTCTTGGCTCCTAAAGTGCTGGGAGAAAACTTCAGCTTCCCCAATGAGGTTGTGTCCTTCTTGGGCCTGTCCCGGCAGCCACCAGCAGCTACAGTCCTTCAGCAGCTGCAGGCACTGAGCTGTAGCTCCAACGCTCTGCCTTTGGAGAAGCTGCAGGACAGCACAAACCACTGCTACAGGTATCTGAACATGCTGCTCCAGAGCGATCGCGCCAGCTGGGGTGAGGTGGCTTCTGCAGTGGCCCAAGGGGAGCCCTTCATCTTGGTGAGCTCCTGTTTTGTGCCAGTCATGGCTGTGGCTGAGACGCTGTCATTTGAGGCTGTCCCATATCTTCACCAGCTTCCAGAGCAGTACCGGCCCTACAGCCAACTCTGGGAGTGTGTGGGGCTGCGCCGCACATTCACCTGGGATGATTATGCCCGAGTGCTCTGCATCCTGGCACAGATGCATGCTGGAGAGCCGCTGCCTCCCACGGAGCTGGCTCTGGCCTTGCGGCTGGTGTCTTCTGGCTTGATGGCAGATGATAAAAAGCCAGATGCCTACCAGACCCAGCAACTCTTTCTACCTGACCAGGAGGGTGTTTTGCGTCCACGGGACAAGCTCCACTACAATGATACGCCATGGATGCCAGTGGACAGAGATGTCCTGCTGTGCCATGAACAGCTATCCCGAGCCATAGCCCTGCACTGTGGGGTGCCTACCACACGGCACCAGATACTAGAGAGGAGCCGACTGCTCACTGCAGATCTGAGCCTCTGGGCACAGCCATTTGGTGCCCATGAAGACCTGCCGACACGTCTGAAGAACATCTTGGGTGAGTACTCAGCAGCTGCTCATGATATGGTGAGAGAGTTGCTCCAGAATGCAGACGATGCTGGTGCGAGGCTTGTGCACTTCGTGTGGGACCGCCGGCAGCACCCAGTGGATGCCACTTTCAGTGAGAAGTGGAACATCCTGCAGGGCCCTGCTCTCTGCATCTACAATGACAACCCCTTCCAGCAGCAGGACATTGAAGGCATTCAGCGTCTGGGGGTGGGTGGCAAACAAGGCCGGCAGGATGTCACAGGCAAATATGGCCTTGGCTTCAACACTGTCTTCCACTTTACTGACTGCCCAGCCTTCCTTACTGGAGACAGTGCCCTGTGTGTCTTTGATCCTCATTGCTGCTACGTGCCTGGAGCCACAACTGAGCGTCCTGGTGGGATGTTCGCTGTCAACCCTGAATTCAAGAGGACCTTTCCAGACATTTATGGCACCTTCCTACCTTCCCTCTTCACCCTGAATGAGGGTGTCCTTTTCCGGCTGCCCCTCCGCACTGCACCCGGGGCTGCCGCGTCCAAGGTGTCTGGCATGGTTGTGCGGGACCAAGACATTGTGGCCATGATGACAGCGCTGGCTGAGGAAGGTGAGGACTTTGTGCTCTTCCTCCGGCACCTCCGCACCGTGATCTTCTCTGAGATTCCCCCAGATGGGGAGCAGTTGTTGGAGAGGCTGCGGGTGTCCACAGAGCTGACAGATGGTGATGCAGAGCTGAGACAGAGTTTTCAAGCAAGATTGAGCCAAGCCACGGATGGGAACAGCCCCACCTCTGTCTCCTATGTCATGACAGTCAAAACCAGCAAGGCCAAGGCCAAGGCCAGCACCGTGTGGAGGGTGATCTCCCAAATTGGGGTTCAGGAGGGGGCTGAGGTGTCTCCAGTGCTTGGGCGGCTGCCCTGTGGGGCTGTGGCTGCCTGCCTGAAGTCACTGGGCTTGAAAAAAGTCACGGGCAAAGCTTTCTGCACCCTCCCACTGCCACTGACCACAGGGCTGCCTGTGCACATCAATGCCAACTTCTCTGTGGATGCAGCCAGACGAAACTTCCGCCAGGACCCAGGCAGCACCGAGGCAGCCTGGAATGGCTTCTTGCTCCGGCACTTGGTAGCTCCACTATACTGTGCCTTTCTCACCAGGCAGTGGAAAGCCCTGGGGCCTGAAGGGCTCCACTTTGAGTCCCTGAAAGTCTGCCAGAAGCACCTGACCTCTTGCTACCTCCAGTTCTTCCCTACTGTGTCAATGGCAAATCCTACCTTTCAGGACCTGGTAAGGGATGTCTATAGGCACCTCAGTCACACACGCCTGCCCCTGATGCCTGTGTACCACATGAAGCCCCCTGGCAACATGGTGACAATCACCTGGGCATCTCCAGGTTGTGGGGATGTGCTAACAAAGCCGTACTTCCTCCAGGCAATACCTGACACAGATCTCCAGGAGGTGCTGCAGGACCTGAACATGAACCTGGTGCCAGCATTTGCCCACCTGCGGCAGATCTATAATGAGTTCATTGAAGCCCATGTGGAGGTTGTTGCCTTTCAGCCAGTTTCTCTCCGGTGCTTCCTCAAGGCCTTGGCACTCCCTGTGCCCTGCATGCTGGCTGAGACACCCCTGAAGACCCCAAGGAGCTGCTTCATGCTGCTGAAACACTGCCTGGAGCCCAAGGGTGGGAACAAGGAAGAACTAGAAGGCCTGCCCTTGCTGGCCACACAAGATGGCCGCCTAAATGCCCTCAGCAGCCACCACCCAGTCTTCCACAACTCCTTTGCCCACCTCTTCCCCCACCACTGCCATCTCTTTGCCAACGAATTCATTTCTTTCTTGACCTTGCCTTGCTTTGTGAAGGAGCTTGGCCTCCTGGAGGCCATACCACTCATCCAAGAGACACTGGGACAGCTGAACTGGACCACAGAGAGGGAGAAGTGGCTCACGGAGCTGTGGAAGTTCTTCAGCACTGTGGTCTACACATCCACAAAGACCAAAGAGCAGTTGGAGGCAGACATGAAGTCATTCATGAATCATCTCCAGAATGTGGTTGTGCTGCCTGTTCAGGGGAACAAGAGAGGCTCGAACCACCTACTGCCACTATCCTCCCTCCCCAACGTTCTTTTTGACTGTTTCACGGATGTGGCCAAGGTGCTGCACAAACTGGGCATCCCTGTGCTCCAGAAGTCCCTGCTGCCTTTAGACTTTGCCTACAAGTGCCTGGAAACAAGAGCACTGCAGGCCACAGATCCCATGGCTGTGGTGGCCCAGCTGGCAGACTCCAGAGATAATCTCCACTGGAGGGACTTAAAAGAGTGGGATGTGACTGTCCCGACTGGATTCAGTGGCACTGAAGCAGCTCAAGCCCCTGCCTCTCTTTCGAAAGTATGGTGGGGACTACGTACCTGTGGAACCCTACCGCAAGGTGCTGTTGCTCAGCAGGCCATTACCAAAACTGCCTCAGGGTGCCCAAGCCCTGTACAGCCTGGAGAAGGATATGTTGCTGCTTACAGAAGACATGATCCACCAGAAGCTGGCCAAGGATTTTCAGTGGGAGCTCGTAGATGAACAGCAGCTCTTCATGAATGTCGTGCTGCCCCGGCTGTCCCAGCTCACAGTGCAAGAGCTCACGGAAGCTTTGCGCTTGTTCTTTGCTCTGCCACGCACCTCTGACTCTAAGTTTGAGGAAGATGTTGTGGCAGCTTTTCGGAATGTGGCCTTTATACCTGATGCCCATGGTAAGCTGCGCCTGGCCTCCTACTTCTATGACAACGTGCCCTCCTTCTGCACTCTGCGGCTCCAACACCGCTTTGTGCCTGAATCTTTCTTTGCGGAGCTAGGTTACAACCGGACAGCTACTGAGAAATTCCTGCTTCGGGCAGGTGTCCGCACAAGCCTCTCTCTGGAGGATTTTGTGGCACTGGCCCTGGAGATAGAGCATGAAGCCACTCAGGCTGGGTGCCACACTGAAGACCTGCTGGTGCGACAGCAGGAGATGCTCAAAAAGCTTGGCACCCTGTTAGACAATCCCTTGTCAGAGGGCTTCCTGGGGCAAATTGCCTCAATCCGCTTCGTGCCTCCACTGGACATCCCCTCAAACTTGATGAATCTCCACCCCCCTTTTGCAGCCTGCACTAAGTCCGTGGCCCTGAAGGGCAGCGTTTACCACTGCAAAGATGTGGCTGAGCTCCTGTGGACATCAGCCACCATCCTGCCAAAGTTCTTTGTACTCAAGCAGGAACTCCTGGAGGCCATGGGAGTCCTTGTAGAGATACCCACTGCCCTGGTGGTGGCCAACCTGGAGCAGGTGTGCAAGGCAGCCTGCCAGACACCAGAGCAGGTGATCACACGGGCCAGTGTGCTAAAGAAGGTGTACAACTTCTTGCAGACCCATCTGAACGAGGTGGATGCAGGGCGCCTTGCTCAGCTGCCTGTGGTGCTGGCCAAGTCAGGGGACATGGCCATGCCATGGCAAGTGGTGACATCGCTCCCGAACAAGGCTGACTTTTACCCCTATCTCCTTATGCCTGACCCTCGCATAGCTGTCTATGGCGACCTCCTGCAACACCTTGGGGTGGTCCTGCTCCCCACACTGACTCACTACAGCCGTGTCCTGGCCCAAATCCACCAGGAGAGCTGTGTCAGTAGGACCCTCAACGCTATCCAGAAGAAGACAGTCCTGCTGGCCACACAGCACTTCTTCCAGCTGTTGCAGGATGCACCAGAGCCCCCTGATTTCTCCACTGTGACCGAGCTGTACTTGCTGAGCACTGCTGACTGCCTAGAGTCATCCCACAGGCTGTACTTCAATGACTGTGTGTCCTCAAGTACCTCTAGGGCCTTGGAGAAGACTTTTGTGTTTATGGCTGAACTGCCAGGGACAGGGTGTAATGCCTGGTGGCTGCTGCAAAAGCTACCACAGCACCTGCGGCCGCGGGCATTGTCAGAGGTTACAAAGCAGCAGCTGGAGGAGGGTACTCTGCGGCCATGTCGCTATGGTTCTCACTGCCCTGGGCAGAGGCATCTGCAGACCCTCCTGGTATCACCGTGGTTTAGGATTGGGCTGGAGTCTCTGCTCCGGTGGCAGAGCCACAAGGCTATGATGAGAATGCAGGGGGATAGTAGCTTTGCAGTGCAGCAGCTGAAAGTGCAGTGCTGTGAGGACATCCGCACTGTGCTCGTCCACTGTGGGGCAAAGGTGGAGGGCAGCTCCCAGTCACGGGCCATCCATGTGTGTTTGGCTGGTGGTGCCCAGCGGCTCCTCTACATCCGGCATGCAGATATGGTGCTGGACCGGCACCAGCTGAGGGTCCTGGAGACGCTAGTGCAGGAGATCAATATCATCCTGGGTGGACAAATGGAGGCACCTGCCTTGTCAGTGCTGCGTGAAATGCTGGTCTGCCAGAAGCCACGGGATGTAGCCTTAGTTCTGGAGGAGAATAATGTGGCACTGGTGGGTGCTGCACCAGAGCTGGAGAAGACGCTGCAGGAGGAGACCGTGGCAGAGGAGAAGCCATGGAAGGATTGGCACAGCCTGATGCCAGAGGTAAAAGATGATGCGGATCACAGCCTGACAACCTTTGGGCAGCTGTGTGCTGTCAAGCGGCCAAAGGTGTTGCAGGACCTCTACCTTCGGTACAACCCTGCAAGCGCTGCCCAACACCATTGCTGGGGACAGGAAAGCCATGGCTCCTCGTTGTGCAATAAGGAGGCCACGGCCCCAACTCCATCCATCCCAGAGGCCCAGCGGTGGCTGCGGCAGGCCCAGAGTGACCTGCAGGCAGCCAGCAATGACATCAGGCACTGTTGTCCCAACTGGGTCCTCTTCAAGGTGCACCAGGCCCTGGAGAAGGCGCTGGTGGCTGCTGTACTTTGCTATGGTGAAGCCTTTGAGGCCTCAGTGGGGCTGGTGGGGCTGGCCCAATGGCTGGAGGCAGCAGAGCCAAAGCTGAGGGGCCTGGCAGAGGAGGTGGAGTGGTTGCGTGGCTGTGGCATGGATGGCAAGGCCACACAGTACCCAAGTTACCACCCCTTCCCCATCACCCCCAAGGAGGCCTTCCACAGTGTGGATGAGGAGGAGGTACTGAAGCGAGCGCAAAGAGTGCTGGGGAGGCTGCAGGAGCATGTGGGTGGAATGTGAGGCACTGGCAGCGGGGCACTGGCAGCTGGGCCACGAGACTACCATGGACCCACCAGACACCCACCACGGACCTATCGTGGACTCACTATGGACTTTCCACAAACCTGCCACAGGCAATTCCAGACTGTCCAGCCCTGCAGCATGGCTGGACTAAGGCCGACAGGGGCCTTAGGACATCGAAAGTCATGTGCTGTTGGCATGCCTTGAGAGCAGGGGAAATAAAGTACAATAATAAATGTTGCAGTGCTGGTAGACCCTTCATTAACAGTATGGTCGGGGACATGGAGATGTCATGGGCGACTGGGGGTGTGTGGAAGGTGAAGGTGCCACTAGGGACTGGCCACTTCATACAACTGAGCCCGCTGGTTCAGTGAGTTTTCCACTCACTTCACCATTCACTTATTCATATCTCACCAGTCTGGCTATAAGGAGCCTATGTGACTGTTCAATGTTTTGCTCGTGTCAGGTAAACACCACCACCGATCTCCCATTATTCACAGAGCCATTCATTTCATTGAGGAAGCCAATCAGGTTGGTCAGGCATGATTTCCCCTTGGTAAATCTATGCCAGCTGTTCCCAATCCCCTTCCCTCATAGGTGCTTGAAAGTGGGTCCCAGGAGGATTTGTTTCATCACCTTCCCCAGGGAGTGCAATGGAGTTGACTATCCTGTAGTTCCTCAGACCCTCCTTTGTGTCCATCTTGAAGATTGGTGTAATGCTCCTTCCAGTTCTCAGGAGCCATCCTCTATTGCCATGATTTTTCGAAGACGATAGAGAGCTCCCTTAGCACACTCCAGTCCTAGGAACTGGTGTATGTCTAACTGGCTCAAAAGCTGCCTGACTATTCTTCCAACTCTCCTACTGCTTCCACAGGAATGTCTCTTCATTCCTCCTGGATAGCCTGATTCTTCCTCCACATTTTGAGTACTTCCTTTCTGATCTGAGCTTGGTCAGGAGTTCCCTGTTCATCTGCTCTCTTGTCATCCAGGGTTGTGATTCTGCTCTTCACCTTGCTAAATCCGCTCATTTTAAATTATGCCCTCAACCCTCAACCTTCACATCCTCAGCCACTTCTTCTTGTGTGTTTTCAGATGAAGAAGTCCTCACTCAGATCAAAGCTCACCATAAAATGAGTGAATTATCCAGACTAGGCAAGTTTCAGCTTAGATCTGTTATCATTAATTTAAGAATTGAGCTGGGAGGGAAAGGCTCTTACAGAATCAGTTTCAGCCCTTGTCCTGGGAGGAAATAAATTGTTCCCAGTTTCCACAAAATATGGGCTCACATGGTTTGAAGAATAGTCTTCAAATAATCTCAAAACCCCAGCTTTCAGCTTCCTCGGAGTACTCCTTTCCACAATATGCTGCACCAGCCTACCATGGCCCCTGTACGGATGACATCCATTGTCACCAAAAAGAGTACTACTTTTTCTTTAACCGCCTCTGGTGAGCGGGAGCATGAAACATTATATTTTTTCCCATTTATAACAGGGAACAGAAATCACTGCCAGATCTTCCTGAATATTTACCAGACAAGCATCAAAATCACTACCTCCTTAAATACACGGTGATCAGTGGCACAAGTCGAGTTGGAGACCGGGAACTAGCAGTGTACCCCAGGGGACAATACTGGGTCCAGTCCTATTTAACACCTTCATTAATGATCTGGATGAAGGGGCAGAGTCTGCCCTCAGCTAGTTTTCTGATGACATAAAACTGGGAGGAGTGGCTGATAGAGCCAAATCTCCAGCTCCCTCAGTCCCTTATAATTCACTGAGTCTCCCTCCTCTAATCATTTCAAGTGATCATTATTTTCCCAGGTAAACCTTTCATGTTGATAATTTCATAGAATCATAGAATCATAGAATGGTTTGGGTTAGAAGGGACAAAGGAGGATAAAAGGCCCTACCCAGGTCGAGATA